CTGACAAATTTCTGCTAAACAATTAACTTTCCTATGTACAAAAGATAAACTGAGCGATAAAAGTTTGATTATAAGGTTTATTCTTACTTTCATTTGCTTTAAGGCTGCTTCTTAATTCAAGCAGATTCTTAATTCGAAAAACGTGAAAAGCATAGTCGTAGATAAAGGCATTGATTGGGAATTCATAGTACCAAAAAGCCCATGGATGGGTGGAGCCTAGGAAAGATTAATCAGATCGGTAAAACGTACCTTGCATGAAATAGTGGGTAGAGCGCGACTAACTTTTGATGAATTAAAAACGTTACTGGTTGAGATAGAATCAATAATTAATTCTCGTCCTTGAACATACGTTTATGATGATACAGAAGGGGTTACATATCCATTAACACCGTCACAGTTACTTTATGGTAGAAATGTTACATTGTCGCCAAATGATAGTTAATGCCAAGTTGTTAATTAATGCCATAAATTTGTTTTTGCCAGTTTCTTTGTGAAATGGCAAATGCATGGGATCTTTAAGGGAATAAATTGAAGATAACAAATTCGGTAAGGCAAAGAGAAAAAGATAAAAAAACATGTTTTTTTATCTCTTTGGAATGGCCAATTTCTGTGATTTCTCTCTCTCTCTCTCTCAAACATGTTCACTTCTGATAGGAATAAGTCAGCCTGACCAATCAAAAAACTCTGCAAACAGAGCAAGGCCTTAGAATTTCTGCAGCAAATTCAAACACATTGAATGTTTATAAAAAATCAGCGGACCAATTAATAATCCGATGTTCTTAGAATTATTTCAAACAAAAGTGAAACCTACTTCTGTTACGAGGAAGTCAGCAAGTGCAAACAATTTCTGTGAAACAAAGGAAAGACCACATAAATTCGCATCTAGAAATGCTCAAACACAGTGGCTACATGCTGGTTGGAAACATAACAGTTCTGCTTGATTCGGGGTCAAAATTCAATTTTCTGCACCAGGCTAATCTTACTTTTCCAGTATGGGGCCATAGGGTGCCCGCGTAGCAGGCTTTGCGTGGGCGTGTCTTCCACTCATACACCAATACGACTTAAAGCCTCGTTTTGCAAATTTATCCAAACTTCACTTTATGACTTGTTAAAACTCAGAATTGGTTTCATCATCATAATTTAAGCATAGATACAAACTTTTATGGGGTTTGTGATTGTATTTTAGATTTTACGGAGACATGGAATTTTAAAACTTGTAAGAGATTTGACCGCAAAAATCGTTCCAGGGGAAACTTTACCCCCCTAGTCGTAAATCACGGTCAAATTCCTTATAAAATTTTTATCAACTTTGTGAGCAATACTAAAATGAAAACTTACAAGTACACGAAAATCTTTGCTCTCACTCCGAATCTGGGATAAGAAATTCGGTACAAAAGAATTTGAGGACTTTTTTCAAAACAAGACCGTTATTCGATTATGTTTTGCATTGAAATATGTTTTGCAAGCCACGATCTATCCATGGTCCTTGTTCTAATGTTTTCATGGGTTACCCCCTTGTTTTTTTATTTTGCGATGAACTGTGGCGCTCGTTTTCTTTTCATATTTTGCAGGCTTATCTAAAAGCTCTGTTCTTTTGTCTGAATTTTTGACGTTAAACACTTTCAAGGGCTTCTTGCAGAAGTCTTTATATTTACATAGGATTCTAATGTTGAAGTATTCTAACCGTGTACTTTCCAGCATTGGTGCACTCGTTGGACTCAAGTTTATTCCGATTATGATGTTCAGTTTTGCAGCATTGCATTCTTTCAGTTGTCAATGAGTCAGGGTGCTTGTTTAAATATTTTGCTGGTTTATTGAAAAAGTCAGTACTTTATTCTGAATTTCACATTAAAATTTGGCAACAGTTTATTTTATTGCTAGCCCTTACCTATTCATTTGCCTCGTTGACACCGTTTCAAAGACTAATTCTCAGAAGTTGAAACTCTAAATCTAACATGTAGTCAGGGCTGTTAGCCAAAATGTTGTGCAAAATCGCATACCAGCATGAAACTTCGTCCACAGAGGTAGTTTTTGGCGCTGAACAAGATAGGATGCAGACCCCAGCTGAGAAATGCCCAAAAATGCTATTTTTAGACTGTTGTACTTGTTCCCAGGCCCCAAAAGTGTTTTTTGTAAAAATACTGCTGCTAGTTGTGATACCAGCATGAAAATTAGAAGAAATGGGGCAGTTTGGTATGCTTAAAAAGAAAGGATGCAGACCCCAGCAGAGAAATGCCCCCAAATGCTATTTTTAGACTGTGATACTTGGTCCCAGGCCTCAAAAGCGATTCTCCTAATAACACTGCTGCTAGTTATGATAGCAGCATGAAAATTAGAAGAAATTGATAGTTTGATATGCTCGAAAAGATAGGATGCAGATCCCAGCTGAAAAATGCACCCAAATGCTATTTTTAGACTGTGATACTTGGTCCCAGGCCCCAAGAGCGTTTATCCTAATAATACTGCTGCTAGTTGTGATACCAGCATGAGTGAAGCCTTATGTGCTGATGTAGGTAATGAATCAGTTATGCATGTTCCGCTAATGAGCATACTGATGAAAGTGACAAGAGATGGGGGTACTGAAGCTTTTTGAGATGCAAGAAATTGGGAAGGGTCCTCAATCTTATGCGAAAATACATGTTTCCTAATGATATTGGCAGCTTTAGAAAGGCAAATTCCATCATCCTGGTCATTCTCTAGACATGCCTGATAAATCGCGGTACTGGTTTCTTCCTTGGGTGTTAGGAGAACATTGTTTCCTTGCTTTTCTTCCTGGAGCTCTGGGATGTGATGTAAGATGTCATTCTTCAAACGAGTACTGTGCACATTCTTTAAACTTTCTGCAGTAGCACCATGCGCCACAAGACGATCGCAAAAGAGCTTTTTGATACAGCTTAACTTGAATACGGAAATATTCTTGGAAGATTCTACCATGTCCCTAAGACAATCAATAATCTCAGCGAACACTGCCCCTTTTCTATTAGCGTCCTCTGTTTCGTGAACAGATTTTGTTCGATGAAAGCTTTTCAGACGGTTGTAAAGAGCGGCAAGGCATTGCTTGTGATATTGGGCCTCAACTGCTACCATGTCACCTTCGCTTAACTTGGCTAAGAGTTTTTCATCAAAGAGCTCTTTTACCGCGTCACGAACATTCTTGTCCAGGCCAAGTATTTGAGCGTTAGTCAAATTCACTTCCAAATCATCCTTTTCACAAAAAAACACATAACTTTGAAATTATCTGCGCTGTACCTTTGGCGTGTGCTAGGTGGGGCCTGAGCGATTTCAACATCAGCTGTCTCTTTCTTTTTTTCCTACATACCCTTTGGTAATGGTAGTCGTCATATTTATTTTTGCAACGCTTATGGAATTTTGCCTCATTTTGCAAAAGATTGCCAGCTTATACCTCGTTGCTTGTTAAGCCTGTCCTTGTATCAAGGAAAGAAGGAAGCTCACCAATGCCCTGAAACCTTTTAAGCTGTTCTGCAATGCTTTTGTATCCTGAACCTTTATCGGAGTGAGTGCCTTTCCTTGCTGGACATTCTAGTACCTCTGATGTCGTTTCTTGGCAAAAAAAACAACTTTCCCAGTTTGTCTCCAGTATTTCTTTGCTCATTGAACTAGGTCTGGTCAACTCGCTATGGGGGTTAACCAGTTGAAATATTTTCTTAGACATTTCACGTATCATTGTCTTATTTCTCAAAAAAATCGGATATGAATTCTTTGCAATTTCGATGGCCCCATCGCTATTGTTAAACAAGACAATAGATCCTATCACGAAAGTAAACTTTTGAAGGAAATGGAATGAAACCATTACAACATCCGGTTCATTTACTGGGTTTGAAAAGGAAGGAATCAGATTTCTTCCACTAAAATTCTGTTGGAAAACTTTTTTAAATTATTTAAGCTAGACTGCACAAAACCTTTATCAATATTCTGCAGGAGAACGAAAAAAGATTCTTAATTCCCTATGTAAATTTCCTACGAAAACCAAAATAAAAGAGTTCATCGAAGTAATAAGGATAACCACTTCCGCCGACTTGGACCTAGGACAGCGGTCTAGAAATAGCACACAGGGGCAGTTCTCAGATGGGGTCTGCTTCCTATCTTTTCGAGCATATCAAACTGCCCATTTCTTTTAAATTTCATGTTGTTATCACAACTAGCAGCAGTATTTTTACAATTAAAGCTTTTGGGGCCTGGGACCAGGTACTACAGTATAAAAATAGCAATTGGGGGCATTTCTCAGCTGGGGTCTGCATCTGATCTTTTCAAGCATATCAAACTGCCCATTTCTTTTAAATTTCATGTTGTTATCACAACTAGCGGCAGTATTTTTACAATTAAAGCTTTTCAGGCCTGGGACCAAAGACAACAGCCTAAAAATAGCATTTGGGGCATTTCCCAGCTGGGGTCTGCATCTTATCTTGTTCAGCGCCCAAAACTACCCTTGTGGACGAAGTTTCATGCTGGTATGCGATTTTGCATAACTCTCTCCAAAATCTGAGGCTAACAGCCCTGACTAATGGGCTCAGACAAAGGTTGAAAAGTGGGGGGGGGGGGGGGCAAGTGAAAATTGAACACCCATAACAAAAGATTTTGAAAAAAACTCTATTGTTTTGCAAAAAAGTGGGGGAGGGGGCCAAGGCTCCCTCGGTCCCCCTTCGTCGGAGGCCCTGTCTAACCATGTACTTTCAAGCCCTCGTTAATTTGTCGTACCCTATTAAAACATAGGCTCAAAGTTTGATATGTTCACGAAGAGGCATCCAGCAAAGCCATTTATTTATTTACTCTTCACCCCCTCAAAATTTGAAAATAATTGAATCTTTATATGAATTTTCCTTAATATATGTGTCTAAAATTTCATATTGCCGAAATAGAATATATATAGTTTCACAAATGTTTCATTTTTGAGGACTTTTAATCATGCTATAAAACCTGACTGATAATAAACTATCCTAACCTGTGTTCAATGGCAGATTTCTAGCAGAGAAACGAATATGTACTTCATCATCATAATAATCATCAAAATGTTCGCTAGGTTAAAATAATTTATTGGTAAAAATTCATAAATTAAATTTTAAATTGACGGTCTTATTTTCTTTTTTTTTCCTTCTTTTTCCCGTAATAATCCGTATGTGGATTTCATCGCCGGGCCTGTGAAATGAAAAAAAATTTGTTAGGAATTTGCGGCAAGGAAGGAGAGTGTAGGCACAGCAGTTATCATTTACGTCAATTTCATTTTGCTTGCAAGGAAGAGAAAAAGAAAAGATGCAACCTATTGTTACCTTATCTGTCGAACAGGGTGCCCTGCTGGTGTTACAAGGCGAAACCTTGTTGCGCGCGGTATCTCAAACTCTCGAGCGATCTGCCCCTTCATTCGAAAGACATCATCATGATGTGGAAGCTCCTGTGAATATCAGGTGTACATGAGACCTTGAAGGGGTGAAACAATTTATTAATTCCAAGGAAATGCCGAAGCAGGAACATGGACTAAATCGAATGAGTATAAGAACAACATGAATAAAAAATAAAATAAAATAGCTCTCACCCGTCGTCTATTGAGGGAACAATGAGGGAACTGTGTGTTTCATAAACATCCTCGTAAAAAAAACAATTGGAAGTAGGGCATGAAAATCTATGAAATAGGGCTCCTATCAATCGTTGAAACTATTTGAGAGGGGGACGCAACATTTTGAATTACCCTTCATCGTTACAATAAACACACAAAGATCATCTAAATCAATCAGATTACAGCTAAACAAAGTCCAAAGAAGAAATGTTTTTGATTCAAATTGTGATGCCAGTACGTCTCATAAATGAAAAAGAGGAATAACCGGTATTAGATTTCAGAGCTAGTGTATGCGTAGAAACAATTCATTAAAACTTGCATGCATGTCGAAATGTTAATGGCTGGAAAACCTGCTTTTTCATTTAGAAACACTTGAGATTTCGTTTAGAATTCATTCAACATATTTATCTTAAGAAACGGGAAGCAAAATTTGAGTACAAACAAAGTAAAACACGAAGAGATCTTTGATATCAAAAATCGCTTACCGTGTGATGAAGCTGGATGAGAATATCCTTTACAATACTTTGGTCAACGCGCCATGGCAATATCCTGCAAAATATCCAAGAATAACCAAAATGAAAGCTGTGACGCAGCAAGTTTGCCAAAATCAAATGTCGACATTAAATATCAAGATTCTTAATCGATGCGTCACTAATGACCGTTAACGACACGCACTCACAAAAAAGTTTCCCTAATAGCGATCTTGTAGACAATGGGGTCACATCAGAAAGGGGGCGTAGCTTGATCGTTGTTCGCAACGCATCAGGCAAAACTGTCCTATAAAATTTAAATTTCCTGAATCTAGGCGTTAGAATTTGCTGAGAATTAAAAAATTAAACAAACCTTGGTGTAGTTTGATGTAGATTATTTTCCATACCTAGAACCAAACGACGTGGGATTTATACGAGCAACGCGCGGCGTTCGACCTGATTCAAAGACATACCAGTGGAGCCTGCCAGTCCTGAAAATGAACACTAGAAAAAGGGGAAAATACATAATTATTTGGGTCGGGTGGGCGTATAAATCCCACGTCGTTTGGTTCTAGGTATGGAAAATAATCTACATCAAACTACACCAAGGTTTGTTTAATTTTTTAATTATTTTCCATAACTAGAACCCAAACTCCTTTCGGTATTTATACGAGACTTCAAAGAGACTGGCAATGTGTTGATCAAGAAGACTTGAACTGAGAAATGATCGATTGTACGCACACAAATAATCAATATTAACAATCAAAATTGGCTAAAATGCTACTACCAAAGTTACTTTCATGAATTGTCTTATTATAAAAACGTCCAAAAGTACTCGAATTCGACCATCCTGCAGCTTTGTTTATAGCTGTTAGCGATAGGCCAATACTTCGTGCCTTGGATGTTGATGCAGCCCTAGTAGAGTGAGAGGTAAATACATTAATATCAATTCCTGCCAATTGCAAAGTGGTTCTCACCCAACGTGAAATGGTCGAGGTGCAAACAGATTGATGAGGAGATTTATAACTCACAAACAATTTCACTCTCGGACCACGTAGAGAGAATGATCTAAACAAGTACTGCTGTGTATTAAATACAGGACAAATAGCCTTGCTATCAGGGAATGCACGGAAATCAAGAGGTGACTGATGAAAACCAGGTCTAGTTGTTTTGAGAACTTGATCAATATAACAAACAACTCTGTCATCAGAAACATCCATAAGTCTGATGTCAATAGCAGCAAATGTTTGGTCTCTCTGTCCTGATAGAAGACAAAACAATGTTACAAGACGAAAGGTAAGCATTTTAAATGGAATAGCATCTGCATCACCTAGGCCCTTTAGATACTGTAACACAACATCAACATCATAAGTGTTAACATGCTTAGGAATACTCGGCCGTATGTTAAACATCCCTCGCAGTAATCTCTTAACGAGTGGATTGTTACCAAATGACGAACTTGTATCTGGTGTCATAATATTGGATAATGCTGAACGAGCAGTGTTCATAGCAGAGTAGCCCAAATTATGTTTGTTAAATAGTTCTGTTAGGAAGTTAATTCCATGATTAATAGAATAATGTGTGGGACATATGTCCACTCTTTGACAGTAAACAAACCATCTGTCTAAATAGGTAGAATATTGTTTTGAAGTACCAGATGAATCAATTATATATTTGGCCTCAGATGATATACCTATTGGTAATCTTTTGTTCCAGATATCATGCCAGCTAGCAGTTGCAGAGACTTCTGTAGTGGGTGCACAGCTTGTGGACGGTTTGGCAGTAACATTAGATGCTTGCTGGAAGGAATAACAATTCGTTCAGAAATCAACATTCTATTGTACAGAGAATACCAGGGACTATATGGCCAATTAGGAACAATTAGAAGACCAGTTGCATTGTCAGAACAAATCTTTTGTAAAACATTAGGAATAATTGCAAATGGTGGAAAGGCATAAAATTTAATGGTTGACCAGCTAAATGTAAACGAATCAATTGCTGAAGCCTCTGGATCTGGCCAAAACGATGCAAAAGGCTTAAATTGGCAATTGATTCTAGAGGCAAATAAATCAATGTCTAAGGTAACATTTAATTTTTTGATTACAAATTTAAACACAGATGGATTTAACTGCCATTCTGTTCGAAGCTCATAGTTTCTAGATTCAGCATCAGCTAAATAGTTCTGAACTCCTGGGATGAAGGACACAGATATGCAGTTTTGATTCTGGATAGCCCAATTCCAAATTTGCTTCACTTCTTCATTACAAGCCAAAGAAC